CGTCAGAACAGTGAGATAAATAACAAAATGTTAGTGGAAAATGTTTAACACTTAAAAAGTGAGCTAAATAATAAAAAGATATGTTAGTTAAATTCTGTCAACATTTAATTTACACTTGGCGCCCCATATTGCAGAGGAAGGATGTTTTACAGTTGAATATTTTGCTGCTGGCAGAGAAACTTGTCTTTTGATCAAAGGTCGAAGGTATTTGTATATTAAATTCTTGTTTGCTGACATACAGGTCTTGGAGAAACTGTGTGCTGAAGTTTAATTGGAATTTTTGAGATTTAGTGTTTGTCTCTTTGCTTTTGGTGCCTTTGTCATGCACGTTACGACCTGTTCAATTTATAAAATGTGGGAAGCAACATTTTTCTGCTCTTTCCTGGATGTAGTCTTATGGCTGCCATCTGCAGGATGTTTCTGCACATGGCAGTCATCCTCCAACTATTCAAAGCAAAGACAAAAAGTAAAGGATGCTGCGGCGTAAAGCAGTGGGAGGAAAAGCCTTCTTGCGACGGGGACTGATTGTTAAAACGGGGACAGTTGCATCTCCAGAGAAGGTGTTTTGAGACTCCACGTCCTCCCCTCTCCTCACTCGGCTCCATTRATTAAATTTCATCCAGCTGCACACACCTGGCCCAGCCATGTTTCATGCATGCAGTCATCCTCAAAAAGATCGTCCCACATCACCCATCCCCCCGACCTCCCGACCTTCACTTTCACTGTGATGTCCAATAGACCTGCCATGTGAGACTCATGCTTCTGTCCTTCTCTCCCCTCCTCACCCACCTCCCTCTCCTGCCATCCCTCTACCTCCTCGTCCCCTCCCACCCCACCCACCTCGTCCCTTCCACTGCCCTTCCACCCCACACAGAGAATGACCAGCCATCCCTTGTTTGGTTTGACAGAGGGAAGTTTTATTTAACCTTTGAAGGTAAGTTTGCCTCTGCACGGTGGGGGTAGCGTGCACGAACGGTTACACTCTTCCCAGGCTCATTTGTGCAAGCTTGGCCCCTCCCTCTACCCTGTCCCCCCCTTTTTTTTAATATCGCGCCTAACTTTCACTGTGCACACTTGTACCTATGCCTCTCCCCCTCATCTGCGCTCAAATATCTTGTGTAACAGTTTGACCTTTTTGTCTCAATGTTTTTTTGAGCCCTATTTTATCTGCACTGGCTTGCCTTTTTCATTGAAGAGTCATCTTTCTTTGTGCACTCTACTAATCACTTTGTCGTTACTTTTTCCCTGTTGGTCGTTTGGCCTTTTTTTGTATTTTTTTTTTTGTTTGTTTCTGATTTTCCCTGACCTTGTCAGAGCTGTACATCTGAAAAATAAGCATGTGTAAATCTGTCTTTTTCCTGGTCTGCCTCTCACTTCTTTCTCATCCAGCAGTGCGTATTCAGATCACAGCAAGCATCGCTGTGTGATGAGGGAAGAGGGAGAACAAAAAAAAACTTTGATTGTAAAAGATATTTGACATGAATAATAAAGATTTCGCAGTCAAAAAGCAGAGAGAAACGTGTCCTCGTCACATATAATGTGTTGTTCCATCTTACTAACACTGGTATCTGTGTTCCTTTTTGAMTAAGTGTGAAATGTCATTTTATTGTAGTTTCCACCCATTTCATCCTCATTTCATCCCTGCACTGTTGGATAGGAAGAGTGTAAAATCCTGGCCTGAAAGTTTTGATGTTTGTTATTTTAGTGCTAAAGC